ATCTATTCTCTATTGTATAAAACTAATAAAGAAAATAATCAATCGTAAAAATACTAACGTGAAGATCTATCATACTGAAAGGAAACAAGTGTGCACATTTCATTTAATTAATAAGCATGTTCCCAGATACGATGCGCTATCTATAAATCATCACGTGGTAAGGTTAATGATATGCATGGGCTATTTTTAGATTACCTCACCAAGTTCAGTAGATCTAAATATAACTCGATCATGCACTGTGTGATTTGGACCACCCTTTGAAGACGGAATACTACTACAGTCAACATCCTCTATTGTGTAAAACTAATACAGACAAAAAACAATTATAAAAGAAACTAACTTTTGCGTCTTGAAAAAGAACTTAAACGGAACAATTTCGTTTATATAATTTATTACGGTTTAAATCAATAAAATCAAGAAAAAATACGAATCCTATTTATATAAACAAACTGGGATTACCGAAGTAACTAAAATAGCTTAGATTTCCGTAATATTACTTCGTCTGATTCCGCAGTATGACAGAATCGCCCGAATTGTCACGATTGCAATCGGAAGTACATCGGCTATTATCATTAATCCGAAGAGTGACGGAAAAGGCCGAAAAGTTGCGATTGGCACGATTTCAGCTGGTTTCCCGTTCAATCATGCACTTATAAATGTAGGCAGAAAACCACCTAACCGGAACAGGTTTTCCAAATGAAATGGCTTGCAGCCGTGGCTGCAAGCCAAAAACAACCTGTGGCTTTCTAAAGGAGAAAATATAGGGCGCTAAATCAGAAAAGGGGAAAACATTCTTCCAACAAATGTGATTTAAATTTATTGACACATTTGATAAAAGTTTGAATTTAATTCAATTTAACAGGCTTGGGAACACTCCGGAATGAGTAGCTTAGGTCTTCAGCGTACCCGTTTATATATACTGTTCTCCTTTTAGCTCGCGGTACTTACTGTTTTGAAATAATAATGAAAACAAACAATGAGCTTACCTTTCAAATAATTGTTATCAGCGGTAACTGTAATCTATTTTCTGCTACATTGCACAAAGAAACAACAAAACATTCATGTGATAACACATTTAATACAACAGAAAATAACCATGTGTCAGTCATGTTTATGAAATGACGTCATCAGTTAGCTCGCGATAGACTGGTTTACAGGTTGAATACTTATACTATTTTAGGTCAAAGAGAACTAAATGATAAAAACCATGTCCTTGAAATTATTTGTAAAAAATATTTCACAAACACCAATTAACACAACATCAATAACACTTTTTTGATGTTTAACAGTCAATGGTCAGTTAAAAAGTTACTCTTCGGGACAGTGAACACAATAGAATGTACTAGCCCTTCTTAACACTTTGACATCAGTACAGTGGGTTAAATGGACCCAATGCCCACAGTGATCACATTGACCCCATTTTAATATAATGAGACCTGGATAGTCTCTAAGCTGTGGGGGAAATTTAGAACTGCATACACAACAAACGTCGTCGTCATCTGACTCATCACTTGAGGATGCATAATTTGGTTTTATTGATCTGCCTGACTTTGTAATGCCAGATGACTTTGTAATGCCAGATGTGGATGGTTTTGGCGAGTTACCATGACAAGATTTTCCTTTTAGGATTGAAGATGTTTTCAGTTGTTTGTCAATTTTCTTGGTATGAAGGTCTTGCAAAGTTTCCATATTTTTGCCTGATAGCAAATTACCCTGGACTTTTACAGGTGGTTTGAATTTCCTTTTTGGTCTTTGTTTGATAACACAAGTGATCTTTTTATTCGTTAAAAATTGGTCACCTTTTTCAACTTCATCCTGCTTGATTGTACTGTTGACAGGTGTCACAGTAACAGATTCATTATTTTGAGTTACAATGTTCTCTGTGTCAATGTTCTCTATCTCCTGGGGGTAAATGGTGGCTGGGGCAGTTTCAGACTGGATAATATCAACCAAGAATGGGTAAATGCCAGCTTTTTCAAAAGCACTAAAAGTCTCGTGAAAATGCCTTTGCATAGGGTTTTGCCGTTAACTTTGCCACTTGATAATGAGTGATGTAAACACCAGGATTAAGATGCATGTATGATTTACATTCTTTATAGTATTTAGTTTTCATAGGGCCTGAAAATTTCTAAATTTAAAGGTTGGGTAATATGCTAAGTGTGCGGTGGGAGGACAAAGAGTATCACATTGTGTTCTGTAGCTCAATTAACAAGAGTGAGGGACATGTGAGATTTGTGTCCGTCATAGAGTACTAGAGTTTAAGGGTTGTCTGGTCCTTTAGAAAGTCCAGTATGCTTGGCAAAATGACCTGACATGTAATCCTCAAACAAATCCCTATTCACAAAACCACTCTCAGACATAGCCCCATCTGAACCTGGAGCAGCACCATTTAAAAGACTTTCACACCAACGTTTACCTGGGAAAATGTAAAAGGGTGGTAGGTGATTTCCAATTGCATTTGCTGAACCTATGACTGTTACTGTCTTTGATCTCTCAGATACAACAGATTGAGGTTTGATACTTGAACTACATACAATCTTTGGTGGTTTATGTTCTGTAGAGAATCCAGATTCATCTATATTGTATATTCTTTGAGGAGAATTCATTAAATCATTCTCGACCAAAACACTTTTAAGCTCACTGAAGTATGTATTTAAAGTTTCTTCAGATGCAAATTTTGCTCTTTTTAAAGACAATTTCTGTGGTTTAGCAATCTTTAGTTCATCCCATCTTTCAATTAATGAGTAAACCCATCCCTGACTCAATCCTGCTTTTGCCCTGACATTCTTTCCTAATGACCTGGCATAACCTGCAGCAATAACCTGTAGGTCAGTTATACAGTACCCATAACCTATTGTTGACATGTAAACAACATGGTCGACAAACTTTTTCTCCTCTTCCTCAGTAAAAAGACGCTTGGCTCCAATCAAACAATCCACAGAAACATTGTGCCTTGTCCTATCTCTAAGGGTAGAATCTGGGACTTGATATATCCTGGCGGCTCTATAAACCGACATGCCAGAGAGTGTAGCCTCATATGCTCTTTTCAGATTTTCTCTATCATAGGGCTTCTGTCTACCAGTTTTGAGTTTCTGAATAAAGAAGAATATGAAAGTGTGAAAAATTGTTGTTACCTGAGCATTTACTTAATGGTGTAAATGGATGGGAAAAATTTAGTTGATGTATACCTATGAAATATTTCAAATTTAAAAGATGGAATAATATTAGTTGTTGCATACCTGGAGACACAGTCTGTATGTCTGTATATAAAATTTAGTGGCACACAGCCCTTAAATGTACAGACGATGTTTTTACAACTGTATTTTCAGACAAAAAAGGTAATATTTTTGTGATCTTTGATAATTATTAGATACTATGAAGATAATTATTAGGTCACTTACCAAGATTCCACTCATGACAGCTGCTAATATCTTTTTTTTAAGCAAAAACACAAAATAGGTCAACTTTGACAGATGTAAATACCGGCTAGGGGGCGCTATGTAAATATCGCGAGTTTAATGATGCCGCAAGATTACCGATGTTGAGTATACTATATTGTGCTCCTCTTAGTTCACGGTACTTAACGCTTTGAAACCAGAAAGAAAACAACAAATGAAACTTATGGTACAAAAATTGTCATAAGCTATAACATATCCTCGACTGATGTAGCCTGGGTCTCCCAGGGTTGTCATTAACATTTTTTGCAGAAGGTTTGTTTTGAACTTGAGGCGGTCATTTCTGTCTTTATCATACATAACAAAGAGTGTTTTCTTAATTTTGAGGCGGCCCATAATGCATTTGAGACAGGCATTTTGGCCTCCTGCCGCCTCTTAATGACAACCCTGGTCTCCACGATACCGGTGTACATATTTTATACAAGGTGTTTTTCATATAAAAATTTATTGACTTGAAAAAAAGAAGGAATAAACAACTTCATTAACATTTAATCCTCTTAAAATTACATTACAGAGTTCTGTTACTCTGAAATTCTCGCTCATTGTGAATGTAAACAATGGTCGACCATTTTGTATGACGTAGTTAAACAGACTTCATGCTACCGGTGCACTGGTAAAAATGTTATTTATATGGAAAGCCATTGCAGTTTTAATAGCAAATATATCATTTTAGCATTCTTGTATTCATATCTGAAAAAAAACGCGTTAAAACTAGGGATGGCAACGAGTACTCGGTTAACCGAGTACTCGATCGAACGTCCGAATATCGGTTAACAAAATTGATATTCGATTACTCGGAAAAAAAAAATTCTATTTATTTTAGATTTAATGAGATTGGTGTCCAATTAGTTCAGAAAGTCGGAGATATACATGTATCTTCATAAATACCTGTAAAATACAATAAAAACATCCTGGAAGAGGTGCGAAAATTATATCGTAAACATAACGAGTGATCAACAGTTTGACACGCGCATGGGATTGAACACCTGTTGCTTACATCATTCGGCCTCTTATGATATTTAATGACCTTTAATTGTGTAACAGTTTGTAGCCGAAACTTGTTTTAAGGTAACGGTTTTGAAAACAGTAAAGGGCCGGATTGTTATTATGAATGTAAGATTAAAGGTTGTAATTAGACCCAATTATACGTTGTTTTTCTTTACTCAATAAAGGAGAGTAACTCCCTTTTCTTCTTTAAGCATATAAATCCAGAAATATCATTAACTTTTTATATCTTGATAAAGTTTTTGCTTAGAATAAGATATTAAAATTTCCATAAGAGTCAAAATGCCGCCTGCAAAATCTAATGCCTGGAAATATTTCAAACGCTGTGCTGATAGCAAGACTGTTAAATGTACATAATGTAGCTGTGAAATGACGTATACTGGTGGTACTACAAACATGCTAAATCATTTACGCTTAAAGCATCCTTCTGAAAACAAAATCTCTGACACACAAAAAAAACACTCAATTGACATATTTGTGAACACGAAAAATAAAATAACTGAAACGCAAAGTGAAAAAATCACGCAGGCTATAGCAAACATGATTGTAAAGGACTATATACCTTTAAGTATAGTAGAAAGTGAAGGATTTCTTAATCTGATGCAGATAGTAGTGCCAGAGTACAAAGTGCCGAGTAGAAACACAGTAAAATCGCGTATTGAGAAGAGATACGATGACGAAAGAGAGTCTCTTGTCAAAAACCTAGAAAGTGTTCAATCAGTTTCGCTCACCACTGATACATGGACATCTAATGCTACTGACAGTTACATGACTATTACTGAACATCATCTTACTGATGACTGGGTGATGGAATCTAAAGTGTTGATGACTCGCGAAATGCAAGAGAGACACACTGGTGAAAATCTCGCAAATAAACTGAAGGATTGTGTATCTGAGTTCGGATTAGAAAACAAAATTGGGTCAATTGTACATGATAATGCGAGAAATATGCAAAGTGCTAGTGAAAAGTGCGAGGATTGGGGTGATGTAGGCTGCTTTGGACATACGCTTCAATTGTGCGTAAAACCCGCACTTGAATTACCAAATGTAAGCAAAATAGTGGCTAAAAGTAGAAAACTCGTTGGATACTTTAAACATTCCACGACCTTAACAGCAGAGATGAGAAATAGACAGAAAGTGTTCAAAGTTCCTGAACATGAACTTATTCAAGACGTGCCAACGAGATGGAACTCAACGCATCTCATGTTAGAGAGACTGTGTGAACAAAGACGTGTTATCACGGATATTATGTTAGACGATAAGTTCACTAAGAAAAGTGATAGCAATTTGTTACTCAAAGATCACGAGTGGGATAATATTTTGGATCTCAAAGACGTGTTGAAGGACTTTACCCAGGGTTCGACACTAACGGGGTCCCGGGATTCCGAGGATCCCAAAAAGTCGGGAGGAATCCCTGTGATTCCTAGCTGGGGATTCCGTTGGGATCCCTGAAAAATTGCTGAGTAAATTTTTGAAATTTTCTGAATTAATGTCATTGAATCACAAATATTCAAGAAAAGTGGTTCAAGAAAGAAAAGAAAAACCCCGCCGGTAAAATCTACACCCTTGAATTATGTACGCTAGTTTTTCTTTGTGCAGTGACTGCTATCAACTCATTTGCGATATATAATAACAAAAATGTTTTGACAAAAGAAACATTCTTGTATAATTTTATATCATGCATTGACTTCATAAAATAGAGTTGTGAAAATTCAAAAAAGAAATGTAATTATCGTATAATTATTACACAAGCGATGTGTACTTCAAATTTGTGTTGATCGACAATGCCGGCGGTAGCTACTGTACAGTTATCCAGTGTTTGTTGTTGTTTTTTTATTGCCAAAATTCGGCACTTGTGACCATCGTAAATTTTCGTCAAAATTGTGAAAAAAAGATAACTGGTGTATTTTTTTCGCAATCCGGTCAACTCGTCCCCTGGTCAACTCGTCCCCTGGTCAACTCGTCCTCTGGTCAACTCGTCACCTTTTTGGTCAACTCGTCCCCTACTTCTGGTCAACTCGTCCTCAAAGAGTCAACTCGTCCCTAATATGGTCAACTCGTCCCCTACTTTCGATCTGTTCGTCACTATTATGTTGTAAATCAATGTTTTTAAATAGTTCTTTTATGTAAAATTAATAATGAATTTGATTGATATCGTAATATTATATATTAACGTCTTTTTTACGTTACACTTTTAATTATCTTTATCTAAGCGCACGTGCATAGCTTTGATGTCAAACTACAAAGACAGGTAAGTTTGCAAACATTCAATTAAAGTTTAATCAATCGAAGTTTTTAATGATAATTAAAACTAAAATTAGATCCAACTCTTTGATTTTTACCTACTCCCTGAATGGATTAAAGACTGACGACAGATTAACAGAAATTAGAAGTGCTAAAAACTTTATGTCGGTGCGTATTGATCTCATTATTGAAGGATCGTGTCAATTTAAAAACATGATAATTGTTTGTTGTGAAATTGTCAATATAAAAGTTGCCCTGATAAATATAAGATTTATTCTTAAAATAACATTTATTTTTTCTTTTCATTATTTTTTTTAAAATAAAAAATCCGTACAATAATATTTGCCGTGGATATTAACTGATTGAAAACATAAAGTAATTACCAAATATTCAATTGCCAAAATAATTAGAATTTCTTGTATAATACAAGTCAACATATTGAATGTTTTAATTGTATTTAATTCAACATTTTCATATATTTGACCATACACCATCAAAAAAAAAAATAGGACATTTGGAAAATAAATTTTTTTAACAACCTTTGGCACGATTTTCACCCGATTTGTATAATTTCAAATTAGAGACACGCGTTCTTTAAATATATAAATACTTATCCAACCACAGAGACAAATATGTCTTTAATCCTATTATCAAATTACAAATTACTGTGTTTACTTTAATAACCAAAGGCACGTGTCAAAAAATATATTTAATTAACAACAAAAAAACTCCAAATATTCGCATACAAAAAGCGTCAAAATATTTCCAATTCAGTTATTTTATTATATATAATTTTAACAGTCTATAATAATTTATGAAATATATGAAAAACAAATAATAATAAAATATAGGGGACGAGTTGGGGACGAGTTGACCAGGGGACGAGTTGTCCAAGGGACGAGTTGACCAAAAAGGTTACGAGTTGACCAGAGGACGAGTTGACCAGGGGACGAGTTGACTCTGAATCTTTTTTTCTCCCTACAGTAGTTTACAGCAAAATTATAATTAATAAACAAAATAAAAAGAATCCATACTTTTAAGTTTAAAATCCTTTTTGAAACTCACAGCCTTCAATGCTAAAAAAAACATTGTCTAACTAAAGTCTAAGGTCAATCAAGGTCACGCATTATTTACCGACAAGAAATACAAAAATCCTTACGTGAAACATACAGCAAATGACGAAATATACAGCAAATGACGTATATTTCATCTGACAGTGCTTTGAGCCAATCAGTGTTGTGAGCTACATGACTGCTGTATGGGGTGAGTGCCTTTGATGTGACAGGTGTCAAAACTTACAAAAAAATCAATACACAGGGAGGTAAGGGATCGGACATTTCAGTGTAAAAATTGAGAACAATAAATTTGGATATTGCACATCCTGTCATGGACTTGGAGCAACTTATCATTTTTAAAAATGAAATCATTTAAAGGTACTGGTCGGGAACCATCAACCGGACACTTTTTGAACATTTTTCCGTACAGATTTCATAATTTTTAGTATAGAGACCTAAAAATTTGACACAGTTCAGCTAGGTTCTTCCCCTAACTAACAAACTAGTTTGTTTATTTCTGAATGTATTGACACTTATATCTGAGGCTCGACAAGGAGGGTATCAAAATTACCTAAATTGTCTACACTACAGCACCATGTGTCCGGACAGATATGTACATGACGTGATTTAACTCAGATGAAAGCTTGGGTGTTTTGATTTTTGATTTTTAACATGATATACAATATGTCAGCAACAAATGCTGAAGTTTTGGATATTCTATTGTTTACACTGCAAATGATTATAGCTGGTATATGAGGTCAGGCATTGCTTTCCTGGCCCCCAAATTTCAACGTCAACATTATTGAAATAGACATTAAAATATTATTAGTTACGGAGGTTGAAATAAATTTATTTACTTAATTATAGAAGAAACATGCATTTATTGTTGGTAAAAAAGTGACTGACATCCACTGAACAAAGAAAATACTAAATTAAGCATTTTCTGGGCCGTCCGGTTTTGGTGGTCTCCAACCAGTACCGTACTTGTAATGCAAACAAAACTGTTTCTTGATATTTTTATTAGCTTAAGTAAAAAATTATCAAAATATTTAATTTACAACAATCTATGGGATTTTTCCTTTTAAACACAAAAATGTAAAATGAAATCAAATATTTTTTTAAAGTGATCATAATTAAGAATTTCCTTAAAAATGACATGAAAGTAAATAATTATAGACAGTTATCCATACCAGACCTTTCTGGAATATGGAGCCTAATCATTACCTGTAACTTTTTAAAGATCTACATATGATAAGTGGGCTCTATTTCAGTGAACCCTAGGCTATCTGGGAAAATGTTTCCCCAGTTCCTATTAAACTTCAAAAATTCAAACCACCTTGTCAAGTCACTTGCATTATACCTTCATTTAGATACAGAAACTGGTTCACAATTATCAACTCCAGGGAGAAAACAGGTTTTAGCAAGATAGCTATTTTCAAATCAAACTCTTGTTCAGTGAGCTTAATGTTATTCTGTTTCCATGTTCATGTAAAAATATATTATGTTTTAATTTATCTTAGCAGTCCAAATATATATATACTAGTAAAGTTAACACTTTGAAACGCTTTTAAAACTTTAAATAGCATTATTTCCAAAGGGCTCATAAACTACATTTTCTGCATCTGAAACAAGACAATATATCCTGTATGTAGTCTCAAAAATGAAAAGAATTTGAAATCGAATTGCTGCACTCCCTTGTTATTCTTCGCCTCCATATTTTACTATTTTGATCTGAGGAATCCCTGACATTTAGGAGGAATCCCTGAATTAAATCTCAGGGATTCCTATGGGATCCCTGGTAAAAACAGTTAGTGTCGAACCCTGTTACCGCGGTAACCACTTACATTTCAACAGAGACAAATGTCTCTTGTTCTCAGATTTATCCAATCGTTTGTGGACTTATGAATACCAGTGTGAAAGTAAATGACAGTGATTCGCATTTAGTGCAAAAAGTGAAACAAACTATCGCGGGAGAATTTGAACGACGCTACCAGCCAAAATCTACCGAGATTTTTGATTCTACAGCCGCACTTTCCACCATTCTTGACCCGCGTTATAAACGTTTACCTTCCTTTAATAGTGAGCAAAGAAAAGTAGCTATTGAAGCTCTTGAATCGCGCTTGGATGAAATTCCACTCAAATTACCTTCTCGCGCCCAGAATGAAAGTGATAGTGTGCCATCAAAGCGGCAAAAAAAGGAGAGTGCTTTGGATTTTTTAATGTGTTATTCACCAGAAAAATGTGACAAAACCGACGATGAACTTGAACGCTATCTTTCAAGCAAATGTGATTCAGAACCACTAAACTGGTGGAAAGAAAATGAAATGAACTTTCCGAGAATCGCCGTAATCGCGAAACAGGTGCTAGCGGTGCCCGTAACATCAGTGCCGTCAGAGCGTATCTTTTCGGCTGCTGGGTTACTTGTGAATAAACTGAGAAACAGACTATCATGTGAACTTGTTGACAAGATTATTTTCCTCAATAAAAACAGAGTCAGTGTTGTTTAATATTGACGTGAAATACATTTAAAAGAAACTGATGTGTAAAATAAAGTACAGCGTAGTGCTGTAACACGTATGCTTGTATAAACTGTATAAAAGATGATAAGATGAACTCAAAGAAAAGTGTTTAATTTTCGTTGAATAAAGACACTGTATTAAGAGAAAAATACGAGAATATTGTTCTTGAATTATTGAATTTATAAAACATATATACATGCTGTCATTGACGATCTCTTATGATGTTTATGATGTTTATTTTCATTACGTATTTGCTAGATATATTCATTGCCGCCGATCAGGCTATATTATTTCTAAAAGGTAAAATGATATATGAACTGTTACACACGATTTAAACTTAATATGCATTAAATAAAGTTAATAAACATATTATGCTGTTGATTTAATTTGTTTATTGGTTTTTTCTAAGTTACCTCCCTTGCAGTCCTATTTATAGATGCGAATTCTGTGAATTGAAATAGAAACCGAAAGTAGCCTGCAGACGGTGTTGATATTGTGTGATTAAATTTTGAAGATTGTTGGAAATCATCCGAGTAACCGAGTACTCGATCGGAAAATTGACCGAGTACTCGAGTATTGAATTTGGTACTCGTTGCCATCCCTAGTTAAAACAACATAAAAACGTGTGTTTCAA